ACCGCACAGCGCGGCAAAGTCAACATGCTATGGCAGACTGTCCTTGCGCCGCGGGTGTTGCTGCGCTGGTGCATGCGATGCCCAGCTGTCCCTGAGACCACGCGGGAAAGTGGCCTCGATGCACAGCGCATACTGCATCCAGCATGCCGCTGGCAGTAGTGCTGCCACATCGCGACGAAGTCACTGCCACGCACGCCGATTCTGGGGGGCTTGACTGCCAGTACATTTGTTGGTGGGCGGGCATGGCTGGCGGGGTTTCACGCATTGCAGATTCGACAACAATCGAATCTGCAGACTTTGTAGGCTTTTGTTTCATGTTGTTTTCTGCAACACCCTGCCTGGTTAAGGTAGATCGCAGTTTACTCTGGGTACAGCAAGGTAAAAAAAACTTACACTTTTAGAGGAAGTGTAAAAAAAAATACCCTTTGAAAATCAGGGTGATCTTGAAAAAGCAACCGTTGGCAAGGGCAATCAAGGTGGAATACCCTTCAAATTTGAGCCCTGGATCGGACGGTCGCTTGCGCTCTGGGTTCCAGCTCAATCTTGTGATCGTGTGATCTTTCCGGGGGAGACTGGGCGGTAGATAGTCGAGAAATATCTTATCGAATTTTCGCATGATCTTCGTCAGGTCTTTAGGTACAGCAGCACACTGCTTTTCCAGGCTGATCTGTTCACCCACCTCCATTGATGCGATCCATCGGACGGTGTAGACGTCCACGCCACGTGCCATCACGCGCTTGATAGTTATGTTGTTCACCTGTCTTGACTGAGGGCCGAGTGGTTTCCACTTCGACAGTCGTCGCCACTCACCACCCCACTTCAATAGCGACTCGAAAGCGACTTCCCTCCTGAAAATTCGCCCTGTACCATACATTGTTCTCGTCCCAAACGTTGAGACCTGTTGCACCTCCAAGAACGTCGCCCGGCGGCGCATTCGAATTTCGCAATGGACCTCCGGTTTCAACCCTATGATGTATCGACTCGTTTTCTCCGTCTTGTGTGGGTCATCGATTTCATCGCAGATGGCGAGGAAGGATGACGTGTTTTCTAGAAAAAAGCCCATTTGATACCACTCGTGCAGCTTCACACGAGCGTTTTCGCTTGCGGATACATGCTCGAAGCGCTTGCAAAGCAGTGCACCCCACTGTTGCCAGGTAGGGATCTCGACCACACCAAATAAGGATTATATAGAAGTTGAGGCAAATCGTTGCTCCCCGTCCATCGCCTGTTGCCGGTCTGCCGGAGTCCCTTGTGACGTCACATACTGTCGCCACCAAACTTAATGTTGGTCCGCGCAATAAAGACACCAGCAACTTGATGCGTGTTTCATCGTCATTGACATCGGCGGCATTGAAGAACAGTCTCTTAACGAATAGCCACCCACTCGGCGTGGTGTGCGTCTCCAGTAGATTGAACAGGGGGGGGGGGGGGGGGGAGGGGGGCATTGCATGTTTTATCTTCACGACTGCCCGTCGCTCGCTTGTACTATCGTCACGTGTCGCTGACGTTGCGGTTGATGCGCGCTCGCACGATCTTCGTCCACGGTAACAGGCGACTCCTGACGCGTCGCACCACGTGCCTGGCAAAAGCTCACGTTCTCCTCTTTCAATGCGGCGAGCTCCAAGGCCATGGCCTCCAACTTCACCATCATTTCGCCGACCTTCGTCGTTAGCACCGACACGCTCACTGCCGCCTCTGACAGCTCAACTATTTGCTCGGGAGTCATATTCTAGTACTACGGCGAGGAGGACTATTGACCATGAATTACCATAACTGGCTAACGCCACTAAAGACACTACGGGCACCTGCAGCGTTAGAGACGTGGAGCGCACACAATAAAGTCGGTGGAACTGAAAAAATTGTTGCATAACTGCTGGACAACTCCTGTCTCCTAACGTGCAAGGTCCCTCTAAACCCTACCTCACTACGGAAGCCTAAATGGGCAGGAGCATAGCTCTGATACAAGCTGTTACGATAATCTCCGGTTTGGAATAGAGTAATGCAATAGTGAGGTCTTGATTAAAGTGTAACGAATACAAATGAAGCACAGTGCTAAATATAACCACAAATTATCAAGGGAGGGAGCCTCGAGGGAGGCCACGAAACACACGCAAGGTGGTTTGGGCGCCTTGGGACTCGGAATTGTTGGACGCGATGCCGCGTGTAGGCTTGGGGGTCTCGAATGAAGTTCGGACTTGAGACTTCTGAAAGCAAGGGGTGTACTCGATGTTAGCGAGGCTCGATAGGGAAAAGGGAATTTCTTTATACCTACCGCATGCAGCCGCTTCACCATCTCCACCTCCGTGACCTCATGCGTACTGTATCCTCCTGAATTTTATGAGTGGGAATGGAACAGCCACTCAATAATGGGAATAGAACCTCGGAAAAACAATGTCTCTACAAGTGACGAGCGAAGTTGCTAAAATAGGGCACGGACGTGCTAGGACGAGCTAGGGCGAGGACCTCGGGACGTGAATGGTTTGGTTGGGTGTCGAGGGTGTCGGAACGCGACTCGGGGAGGTTTGGGCCGAAAATAATGGCCGAACCTGCGAGCTCGAGGTCTTCGGGTGTACGCGCTGTAGTTCAGCGCAGTAAGGAATGTTAATTCCTTACACTGAATGTCTCACTGTAGCATTTTGCCGTCCGCGCCATCCCCTTCCCCCCTTTCCCCCTCCCCCTAACCCGCCTTCCAAATCCTGCCGCCGCGATTGATGGTGGGTGGTTGTTTCGAACGATGGAGTCACGTCATGAAACAAGTGGATCCGAAAACCAATCACGTTCTGTTTTCGAAGCATTGCAGATTTCCTGGATAATGATAATCCGGAAATCGTTTTCACGAAACGTAGTGCTCCGTTATTTTTTCGGGTTTCCTTGGGTGCTGTAGTTGCTTATCTGGGATCATGGACGTCACGGGTTGCCGAACATTTGTTTACCAATAGGCATTTGGTTCCATTCCAAAACACCCATCCTGCCCTTGTCCGACCATCACTGTGCCCTTCAGCCAGGGAAGGGAAGGGAACCCCTTTAGGCGAACCTTTTGTCGGCAATTTGCCAAAGTTTCCAGGTTTTAACCCATGCTGTGGAAGTACACTAGAGTTCTGAAAGAGGCCCAAGTTGTTTTTGGCTGGTTACTCCAGTAACGGAAGCCTTCAAATCGCTGGCAAATTGGGCCTGAAGGTAGGACCATGGTTACCCGTTTGGCAGGACCCTTGGAAAATGGAAGGCATTCGTTTTTTCTCCCGTGTACCCCGGTAACTGTCGCACAATCGCACCCTGGTTCCGAGTCAACCTACAATCGTTCCTTCTGCATGTTCGCTCCCAGCAGTGTCGCAAGTGGTTGAGCCGCTTAAAATTGGGCCAGTCTAGGACGGACCGTTGCCTGTAAATCCATGCCAGTCAGATTGACGAGTGCATGGGGGCCTCTGACGAATAGGTGGTTCATTGGACGTCATGTGTACACCGGGCGTCCAGGAGTTCCGGAAGATTGATCGGGCCCACCCCCCAACCTACGCCCATCCGCCAACAATCAGGGGCAACGACCCTTCACATGATGCCCATTCACCCGAGTTTTGTGGCACCTGCGACACAGCAGCGGCGAAAGTATCCATGCAAAGGAGCTCGCGAAAGCACAAGTGTCCACTTAAAGCCGGCGACTACATTTGAGGGGGTTCGTGGTGCAGCTTTAGGATATGTAGGCCTGGTTTTGCGTGATTGGCTTACGAGAGAGGCGAAACTGGAAAACTAACGACAGAGAATGCGGACTTCGCAAGCATCGAGAAGCGAGAGTTGCGAGATTGGAGGGGGGAGGGGAATTTGAGTGGGACGAGGGGACCAAAATTTGGGGAGAGGAGGGAGGGGGGGTTGTAATTGGAGGGGGAGTGGGGAATAACAATTGGAGGGGGAAAGGGGAATCGAAATTGGAGGGGGGAGGGGGAATCGAAATTAGAGGGTGGAGGGGGAAGGGGGGAATCGCAATGGGAAGGGGAGGGGGAATCGCGATTGGAGGGGGGAGGGGGGAATCGCAATTGGAGGGGGAGGGGGAATCGCAATTGGAGGGGGAGGGGGATCGAAATCCTGGGGTGAGCCAAATCTGTACACAATTGTGATCGAGGCCGAATTCAAATGTTTTTAAGGGTTTGGGCGAGCTAGGTTACCCCCTTTCAAATGTTTTTGATTTGAAAATAGCAACCACAAATGTAGACACGGGCTTTAACGGCCCATCTCCCGTGGCGAAGGCTGGCGAGAAAAGTGCGCGTACGCCCACACGGTTTGTTGAAATCGGGACTATTGGGTGCGCACTCGGTGTAGAGTCAGGCCATTGACTGTACAGTCAGGGCAGATGGAGGTTGTCGCTCCAGTCAGGTTGTTTGTCTGCCTGGCTCCCTCCCTTCCACCCACTCCCCCCTCCCTCCCCTCCACCATCTTAGCCACAGGCTTTTGCCGTGCTGCCCGGATGCCTTTCTTCACCGAACCACCTACAGTTCTGTACAAACAGCAGGTCCAGTACAAACACGCACGGTGAAGACTCCTCCAGGTTCACATCCCACACTTGGGTCGGATCCAATGGCAACCACTATTGATAAAGATAACACCGATTCCATACTCATTCCTGAAATGAATGAATTGCTATGAATTGATAATAAGTGTTCACACCATACAAAGGTTAATAGTACCAACATAGATACAGTGTTAAGATATTTATCAATATAAAACAAAAAAAACAGAAGAAATTGTTTTGGTCAGTACATTATTTCATGCTCACACTCATGGCGTACTATACCACCTTAGGAAAATTCGGCCCTTATAGAGTGACCCGTTTCTCACTACAGGGCTCGAACCCACGACATCAATACAGGGGAACGAGCTGGAAACCATGGTGCTCCAAGGTACTCCAAACACGCCCTCCCCTCTCTCCAAACCCTGACCTTCCTTTGTGCCTCCTCTCCCTCCTCTCTCACAGCCGTCGTTTCTGCAGCACCCTCCTGAATATAACCTATCGCCATCCTACGCTAGCCAGTGCTGTCAGAAACGAGAGCTGTCAATTCTGCATTTTTGGGAACATTAACGCTTTGTTAGGGCAGAATCGGCGTAATTTTTCGCCTCCGAGCCGTCGAGTCGTTTAGATTGCCCTCAATCGGCGATCCGCGCTCTTCTAGTTCCTTCTCAACGTGCGGTGCTTGTCCGACGCCGGTCCTTGAAAGCTCTTGGGGGAGAATGGACTGAGCCCGTTTCGGCTTCGTGTTCTTATTATTCTGGAGAGACTGCCTTCTAGCTTTTCTCCGAAAAGTGATATCGTTTGCGAAGCAGCCGCTCAGCTCGGTTCGTCGACCCCAATAAACTGAAGGTTAGTCTTTTCGCGAAGCGGATGGGTTAGTTGCGTGGATAAAGGAGAGCCTTCTAAAGAGAGTCAAACGAGAGGCAAAAGAAAGGCCAGAAGAGAGTCAAAGAAATGTGAACAAAGTCTTCGGGCGGTTACTGCAGGCGGAAAGCTCGGCTGTACTCCTAGTCTCGTTTTTCCCTTTCTTCCCCTCCCTCTCCAACTCCTAGCATTTGTCACATCTAGCAACCTTGCCAAGAGCCATAAGTATAGATTAGGTCAAGTTTCCTCCTCTTGCTCCCGCCGTTTCGAGGGTTATACCCTCCCTCCCTCGCCCTCCCTCTCATTCCCCCTCTCGCTTTCTTCCTCTCTTCCCCCCCACCACGCCTCCGTTCTCCCCTTCTCCCACACTTCCTCCCCCCTTTCTTCCTCCCTCTTTCTTCCCGTTTGCTCCAATGCAGCTCGTCCTAACCACTAAGACCACTATTTATTACCTATTCCTTCCCGCCTGGGCAACTTTCCCCTAACGCCACTATTAACTACCCACCCTTGAAACCTAACTTCTGAGTCGAGGGACCACCACTAGTGTAGCCCTGCCAGCTCAGCACAACTATCGCCTTACCTGTCTGTCACCCTTGCTGCCGCTCTGTACGCGTTATTGACGGCTCCGCTGCTCGTGTACCAGCCGTTTCTGCCACGTTTACCCCCCGCTATTCTGCATCCGAATTGCCGCACGGACGCCGAGTGACAGCCCTGGCGGGTGGTTGCAGATAGACAGACAGGGAGGCAGGCAGCAGGCAGGCACGCAGAAAGGCAGCAGGTTGGCAGGCAGGCCGGCCGGCAAGCTTTACCCTATCCCGCGTCTCGGCAGTCGCCCTTATCTTCACGCGCCTTTCACGAGTGCGTTCGTTTCCTGGTGCGTAAACGACCTATTTTTTTTCACTGATTAAACCCGGGTAATCACCTCGAGGTTTGTCCTGTAAGACGCGTCGGAGCTTAGTGCTTAGTGCGTAGTGCTTAGGCTTCGAGCCGCAGCGTCCCCTCCTCATCCCCTCCGTCTCGAGCGCACCTCGAGTTCCTCCGTCGCCCTCGCTCACTACCCACCGGCATTCTACTCGCGCCGTCGCTCCTCGCCTCGTGAGGGGTAGCGTTTCCTGATTACTGCTCTCGAGTCCTTTTTTCGCGCGCGACCTTTTTTTTCTTTTTTCTTTTTTTGGCTAGACACTTCCGCGAACCCTCGCGACGTTTTCGCCACGCGTTCGCGAACTCTCGCCGTCGTTTCGTCGCCAAGCGACGATGAGCATGCAAGCAGACTCCAGCGATAGCGTCGTCATGGCAGCGGTCAGCGGAAACAATTCTGGGGGCGCGGGGGGAACCGGCGGAGGCGGAGGCACTGGCGCGCCCGCGCTAGAATCAGCGGCGGAACTGCAAGCGGCGTTTTCCGCGGGCCAGCTGCAGCAGTTCGGGCAGCGGCTGCAGCTGCAGGCGCAGAACATCACTGGCGGAGGAACCTTCTCCCCGGAAACCCTTTTCCAGGACGCTTTATCCCCCTCCTCCGCCCTTAACATTTCGCCTAACTCGCAGCTTTCGCCGCACCAGCAGGCGCTGATTAGTCCCGAGCGGCAGCGGCGGGAGCTCGAGCAAGCGAGCGAGCTGTGGGATATGCTGGGGGCAAGCGTGGATCTAGGAGGCGGGGGGGGGATCGGGGGAGCGGCGGGCATCGGGAAGCTGGCGGGCGGAGGCGGACCGGACGGCGCTGGCTCTGGCGCTGGTCCTGGGGGACTGGGGGAACAAGCGGGAGAAGATGGCGGCGGGTGGAAGGGCGCGGGCGCGGGTACTGCCATGGGGGGGTTGGGGGCGCTGGGGGGGGTTGGGGAGGTGGGGCGGCTGGCGGGGTTGGTGCAGGGGGAGCAGGGGGAACAGGGGGAAGGGGAGTAGGAGGGGGAGGGCAAGCGGGTTTGGCGCCGAATGCCCCGCTGCTAGATGCGCTGAACTCTGGGTTTGGTGGCGGCGGCGCTGGTAGCGCTGCTGCGGGTGCGACGGGCGGTCAGGGAACGGATCTGATGCCAGGCTCGGGGGGGGGATCAGGGCTGGTAGCAGGGCTGGCAGGGCTGGCAGGACTGTCCCCGTTACAGCAGGGCTCGTTAGACGCGAAGATGATTATGGAGCTACTGCAGCGGGATCGCGGAGGGGCGTCTGGAGGGGGGGAAATGGGCGCAGGAGGCGGAGGAGGCGGGGGAAGCGGGGGAGGGGGACTGGGGCAGATGGGTGATGGTGGCCTGGGAAGGATGGAGCAGCTAGCGCTATTGGCGGGGCTCTCTGGGGAAGGGGGGGAGGGAGGCGCAGGGGGGATGGCAGCAGTGCTTGCGGCTGCGGCAGCAGCTGGAGGTGGGGGAGGCGTAGGCGGAGGGGGAGGGGGGGGGGGAGGGGGAGGGGGAGGAGGGGGAGGAGGAGTAGGGGCATCGACTTGGATGCTTCAGCAGATGCTTCAGCAGCAGCGGCTGCAGCAGGAGAAGGAGAAGCTACAGCAGCAGCTACAGCAGCAGCTGCAACAGCAACTGCAGCAGCAACTGCAGATGCACTTACAGCAACAGCAGCAGCAGCAGAATCACCATCAGCATCATCAGCAGCAGCCGCAAATGCAAAAGCCGCCCCACCCACCCAACTGGATCCCTCCTGGCCAAATCTCCCAAGCGCTTGAGAGAGTAACGGAAGGAGAAGGAGGGGGCCTAGGTCTTCAACCCGGCCCAGCAGCAGCAGCAGCAGGGCTATTCGCCTCAGGCTCTTCCAGGCGGGTAGCTGGAGCCAGCAACCTGGGCGGTCCTATGCGGGCTGGGCGGCATCTGCCAGGGGGGGGCGGTGGCGGAGCAGTGACTTCCCACCACCGCCGCGCGCTCTCCCTCGGCTCCGCCGCGTTGCAGTGCGACGGGCTGAGCAGCAACAACAGCAGCCGCAGCAACAGCCCGCTCTCAGGCCTCCGCATGGCCTCCCAGCACGGTCAACATCCCCACCTCTCCCACCACCCCCACTATCCGCACCACCCCCACACTGCCACGTCCCCTGGTCCGTACCTCGTCTCTCGAGCCGGCACGTCGTTAGCAGGTGGGGGTATGGCAGGTGCTGCTAGTGTAGCTGGCGTGCCAGATGATCTCTCAGGCGCGGCTGCTGCGCTGCTGCTCTCTGCGAGGGTGGGGGGAACGGGCGTGGGGGGGCTGAACCCAGGGGGCCTTACAGGAGCAGCAGCAGCAGGAGGAGGGGTAGGGGAAGGGGCAGCCGGGTCGCTACAGTCACTCAGATCACGCCGCGGCCTGCCGGATTTGCCCGGGTATCCCCCTCGAATCGGGTCTACTGGCTCTGGGCAGTCTAACCCCAGTCCGAAGGGGAAACGAGAGCCGGAGAGCAGTCTTGCAGGGTCGCTGGCGGGCGGGGCGGGCAGGTGGCTGAATGTCCCTGCGAATAAGAGTCCACGGGCAGAGGGGCAGCTGAGTCCGGGCAGCAGTTTGAAACGTATTTCGACAGGGCAGCTCCCGGGGTTGACGGGGGATATGGCCAGGCTGGGTATGGGGAATTTCCGTCCATTTGTGAGTGGTGGGTCTCCCAACGCTGCTGCTGCTGCTATTGTGGCTGCTGCAGCGGCAGCAGCAGGATCAGGCAGCAATGCAGGGGGGTTTTCTGGGGGGGGGATGGGGTGAACGGGATGGGGGGAAGTGCGAGTGGGCTGTCCTCCCCTGTGCGTCTCTCTTCCCCCGATACTGACCTTCTGAGCGCGGCTGTCGCTGCTCCCGCCAGTGGTATGGGAATGGGCGCAAGCAGGATCGTGTCTGGGGGCGTCGGGGGAAAGGGAGGGGCCGCAGCAGGGGGCGGAGGAGGAGGGGTGGGAGTGATGGCGCGGGGAGGGAACTTGGGGGTACGGGGGGATGCTCGGGGGAAATTGGGAAGGCGCGGGTCAGGTCTGAGTGGGGGGAGCGGGGGAGGAGGGGGGGGAGGGGGAACTGGGGTGAGCTGGGCGCATGCAGGGGAGGAGGTGGGGGAAGGTGGGGAGGGAGTGGTGGGAATGATGCATCTTCATGATGACGACTACTCGGACAATGAAGACGTGGGGAACGCATACGGGGACATGGACGCAGGCATGCTCACCCCGCCAGAGCTCCTAGGGGTAGACGGAGCAGACGCGATGCTAGAAGAGGCTCGCATGCTGAACCCCCACCGGCAGCGGCACTCGACAAAGCCCCGGAGCGTCGCAGAGCGGAAGCGGCGGGAGAAGATCTCGGTGCGGCTGCAGCAGCTGAAGGACGCGATGCCGAAGGCCGAGGGGCGGCTGGATACTGCGTCGATGATTGAGGACGCGGTGGCGTACATCCAGTCGCTGCGGCAGCGGTGCCGGGCTCTGGAGAAGCACAATGTGCAGCTCTCGGCTAAGGTGGAACATTTGCAAGAGAGGCTTGGGGAGAGGGATGGTGGAGGGGGAGGAACGGGAGGAGCAGGAGGAGGAGGAGGGGGTGGGGGTGGGGGAGGCGGGGGAGAGGGGGGAGGAGCGGGAGGAGGAGGGGGAGGAGGAGGGGGGGGGGGGGGAGGAGGAGGAGCGGGAGAGGGTGGGGGTGGTGGCGGCAGCAGTGGTGGTGCTGGAGGGGGGGAAGGAGGTGGCGCAGGGGTGACTGACGAGTGAGGGGCCATGGAGGGGAAGGGAGAGAAACACCAGCTGCAGGGAGGATGTGTGTATGTGGGGGCAAGAATTGGAGGGGAAGGGTGGGAAAGTGATGTGGTTGGGCGGTTTCAGGGGAAGGTTGGAGGCGAGAGTAGCAAGGGGGGGAATGTGGTGGAACGAGGGAGAAGAGTGTGCGGTAGGGGGGGTTGGGGGTGGAGGTGGGGTTAGAGGGGGGAATTTATGTGTGAGGCACCCGTTGCCTTGAAAGCAGTGGATGTGATGGGTGAAGGGACGAGGTTTTAGGCCCGCACCAGTGGATGTGTTGGGTGAAGGGACGAGGTTTTAGGCCCGCACCAGTGGATGTGATGGGTGAAGTGGATGGGATCAGGTGCAGGGGGAGAAGACAGTTGTGTAGCAAGAGGAAGAAGACGAGGACAGAAAAAGATCGATGAAAGGGCGAGCGGAGGAGAGGAAGGACAATAAGGGGAAGAAGGGGAAGAAGGCAAAGGATAAGAAGTGACCAACTCGTTGGGGGTTTTTATGCGATGCGATGAGTGCGGCAGGCTGTGTGTGTACGCCGGATCAAAACGAGGAACTAGGCGATTCTTTGGAGACGTCTTATCTGATCTCATCTGATCTGATCTGACCTCATCTGATCTGATCTGATCCGAACAGTCCTTGGGGCTTGCAAGCAATGCAGCAGCAGAAGAGGCTGTGTGGTGTGGCCCTGGCCTGTGCAGTTTTCGGTCTTCTGGATGTAAACTTGCAGTAGGGCGGCTGTTTCAGAATGCGGTGGGAATGCGCAGCAGAGGTGTGTGCATGGATGTGAGGGAGAGGGAGACAGGGAAAAGTTTGCTGGGGGGTATGGCAAGAGAGGGTGAGGAAGGGCGAGCGAGAGAGGGGAAGTAGAGGGAAAGGGAGAGGTGTATGGGGTGGGAAGGGGGCCTGGAGGCTGCAGCCAAGGGCCTTGGGCAAGGAAAGCATGCGAAGGGAAGGGGTCTGGCTGGGTAGCGTGCAACTACAGTAGTGATACCGTATATCGAAATACTGGACTACCATAGATGCTTATCTGTGTGCTTGCAGATGTGTCTGCTGGAGTGGATGCATGGTGGATGACATGGGGTATGGAAAGGGGGTATGGAGGGGAGGTACCTACCGGAAAAGAGCTGATTGCAAGCAGAGTGGAAGATTTCGGGGATGGATGCATGGATGGCGTTGGTAACTTGGTATCCCTTGTTTGCTTTCCTAATGGGTTAGTTGATCCTGTTGTGATAAAAGAAGTTTTGCATTCCTGCAAGTTCCGTTTTTGGTGTAGTTAGCAGTATCGAGTTTCTCGCTAAGGAAACAGGCCCCTGTGATGACGTCATCAAAGCATCGCGCGTCTAGGTAGTGACGTCAGCATGCCGTTTCAGTTACGCAAATAGGCGTAACGAACCGCTAACAGTCGCGACCCTATAGAATGACGAATAGGTCGCATATAGCGCAACTAGCCAAACAGGTACTTTCCATAGAGCTATAAATCCTTGTAATGCCTTTCCATTATCAACCTTGACTTTCCACAGAATTATGTGCTCAGGTTATTCAACCTTAACTACCCACAAGTTCATGTGCTCAGGTTCAATCTTATAAGACTTCCGCTGTTTTACTAGTCTACCATAACAGAATTACGATCCTTACAAGTGTCAACTTATACATATTATCTATGTAGAAGTTATAGGCTAGACTGAGGTATGCTTCTAGTGAGTACAGCCAACTAGTATTTGTTCTAGGTTTCCACTTCTAGTAATTATTCGTTTCTCACTTTGACATGGTATCACGCGTAGGTTAGCATCCCCCACCTACCGCTTCCGCCCGTACCCTAGCTAGGCCACGTCGCGCCTCCTAGCCCCGTCGCGCCTCCTAGCCACGTCGCCCCCCTCCTGGGCCACGTCGCGCCACCCTAGCCCCGTCGCGCCACCCTAGCCCCGTCGCGCCCTGCCTAGCCTCGTCGCGCCCGCTCGGCCTAGTCGCGCCCTGCCTGGCTCCGTCGCGCCCGCCTGGCCCCGTCGCGCCCTGCCTGGCCCCGTCGCGACCTGCCTGGCTCCGTCGCGCCCTGCCTGGCCCCGTCGCGCCCGCTCGGCCCCGTCGCGCCCTGCCTGGCCCCGTCGCGCCCGCTCGGCCCCGTCGCGCCCTGCCTGGCTCCGTCGCGCCCGCCTGGCCCCGTCGCGCCTGCCTGGCCCGGCCGCACCTGCCTGGCCCCGTCGCGCCTGCCTGGCCCCGCCGCGCCTCCCTGGCCCCCCCCGCGCCTGCCTGGCCCCGCCGCGCCTGCCTGGCCCCGCTGCACCTGCCTGGCCCTGACGCGCCTGCCTGGCCCCGTCGCGCCCTGACTGGCTCCGTCGCGCCCGCCTGGCCCTGTCGCGCCCTGCCTGGCCTCGTCGCGCCCTGCCTGGCTCCGTCGCGCCCTGCCTGGCCCCGTCGCGCCCGCTCGGCCCCGTCGCGCCCTGCCTGGCTCCGTCGCGCCCGCTCGGCCCCGTCGCGCCCTGCCTAGCCCCGTCGCGCCCTGCCTGGACCCGTCGTGCCTGCCTGGCCCCGCCGCGCCTCCCTGGCCCTGCCGCGCCTGCCTGGCCCCGCCGCGCCTGCTTGGCCCCGCTGCACCTGCCTGGCCCTGACGCGCCTGCCTGGCCCCGTCGCGCCCTGCCTGGCCCCGCTGCGCCTGCCTGGCCCCGCCGCACCTGCCTGGCCCCGCCGCGCCTGCGTGGCCCCGCAGCGCCTCCCTGGCCCTGCTGCGCCTGCCTGGCCCCCGCCGCGCCTCCCTGGCCCCGCCGCGTCTGCCTGGCCCCGCCGCGCCTCCCTGGCCCCGCCGCGCCTGCCTGGCCCCGCCGCGCCTGCTTGGCCCTGCCGCGCCTGCCTGGCCCCGCCGCACCTGCCTGGCCCCCCCCGCGCCTGCCTGGCCCCGCCGCGCCTGCCTGGCCCCTTTGCCCCGGCTCGTCCTGCCGTGCCGCCTCGGGCTCCGTCTCCTCTGCTCGCCCGTGCTGAGGCGCTTCGCGGCCGCCGTGCTGGAGGGGGCTGTCGCTGTGTTCCTTCGTCGCTGTGTTCCTGTGGAGCTGTGCCGCTGACCCTGCACGATGGCGGACTTCGTGCTCCGACTGGACGCCGAGGGCCATGCGGTTAACTTCGCCGCCTGGCTCTCCGATCTCCGCCGCCACCTTACAGGTCAGCGCCAAGATGGCCACTCTTTGGTTGTCCATGTCGACGGCTTGCTCCCCCGCCCCCCCGCACCTGCTCCCCTCCCTGCTGATCCCTCCTCTGATGACCGTGAGACCTTCTCTACTGCTGCGCTTGCCCGTGCGGTCTGGGACTCCCGCGATGCAGTCGCTCAGGTTGCCATTAGCCACGCCCTCCCTGTCTCTGAGCGCTCGCGTTTTGCTACTATTGAGACGGCCAAAGCTTACTTAGACGCTGTTATTGCCCGCTATTCCACACCCGCGTCTGCTTTTGCTGGTCGCCTGCTCTTCCCTATGCTTTTCCCAGACCTTGCAGCTTTCCCTACCGTCGCAGACTTTGCCACTCACCTGCGTGCCCTAGAGACCCGCTATCGCACTGCCAGCACTGCCGCCCAGCTCACTGCGCTCCCCCCCCCTTTCTGCATGACGCTCTATTTTATCGCCATGCGCCTGCCAGACCGCCTCGCTAGTGCTCGCGATCACTTTCTTAGCCAGCACCCGGATGACCTCACTCTCACTGCCTTTGTCGACACCCTCACCGAGATCGAAACTCGCCAGCGCACTATCGCTCAGTCGAGCGGTGCGCCGGCAGTTTCTATCTTTCACGGTTGTGCCCCCTCCCAGTGTGCGTTCACTGACGTTTCGGCTGCGGTCGCCTCGGCGGCCCCTCTCACCGAGACGGCTGGTGCGGTCCACCCGCAGCAGCGCTCGCGCCGCGGTGGCCGTGGTCGCTAGGGGGGTAGGGGTGGTGGTGGCAGTAGTGGTGGTGACGGTAGTCCGCCTGCGGGGACTACCACTGGTGGGCAGGAGCAGCAGCCCCAGCCGCAGCAGGAGCAGCCCCAGCCGCAGCCGCCGCCCCAGCAGCAGTCACCGTCCCAGCAGCAGTCGCCGCAGCAGTGGGCACGTCTCCCGCCTGGTTGGCCCGGCACCTCTGGAGGTAGTGGCCGTGGTGGCGGCCCGCGCAGCTGGCGTCTACCGGCGGCTCCGGTGCTGTCACCTGCCAGTACCAGCTTCAGACCGGGCCTCTTCGCGGCACTCTGTGCCGCCGCCCGCACCCGACCGCCCGCTGTTTCCGCCGCCTCGACGATCTCTTTCGTCGTCGCTTTGGCCCGACCCCGGACCTTCCCGACTGGCACAGCCTGCTCCGCCAGGGCGTGCCGATCTTTGAGTTAGACATGGATCAGCTAGGTGCTGCTTTGCATGCTTTGTATTCTGACGCTTCTAGTTTTGCTGGATCTTATTACCCTGTGTACTCTAGTTTAGGTGTTGCACCACTGTGTAGCTTAGCCTCCCCTACTGCGTCAGGCGTAGGACTGCCTAGGTTGCCTAGTCTAGTCGCTGCACCGGCTCCGTCCCCGGCCTCCGCCACTGCGTCGCTGTCCTTCACTCTCGACTCCGGTGCTTCTGCCTGCTTCTTCCGCGACCGTTCCACGCTCACACCGCTTGCTGCACCTGCTGTTGTCTCTCTCGCTGACCCCTCTGCGGGTCCTGTCGTCGCGCGCAGTTCTACGTCCCTTCCCTGTCCGGCAGTTCCCTCGGGCTCCCTTACTGGCCTCCACGTTCCCTCGTTCTCCAGGAACCTGGTTGGTGTCGGCTGTCTCCAGGACCTCGGCGTCACCACCACGTTCCCCGGGCACGAGCGGTTCGCTGTCTGTTCTGAGGCTGTCTCAGGTTCCCCCCTTGCGACGTTCCCCCAGGACCCGGTGTCCGGTCTGTTTACCCTAGACACCGCTTCCCCCCCGGTTGGTGCGTCCTCCCAGGTCGCTGCAGCTTGCGCGTGTCGGTCCCTCACTCACCCCTCCCTTCTCTGGCACCACCGCTTAGGTCACCCTGCTCTCCCACGTCTGCGTCACATGTCCCAGCACGGTCTTGTCTTAGGTCTCCCCGCGTCGCTCCCTGCCCTTCCTCCCTCGACTGCGCCACCGTGCACGCCTTGCGTCGAGGGTCGGCTCCGCCGTGCTCCTCACTCCTCCTCGCTGCGTCCTGCTACCGCCCCCCTTCAGACCCTGCACCTGGACGTTTGGGGCCCTGCCCCCGTCCCCGGACCGCGCGGTGAGCGCTACTTCCTTGTGCTCGTCGACGACTACACGCGCTACACCACGGTGTTTCCCCTGGAGCGGAAGGCCGACGTGCCCGACGTTCTTCTCCCGTAGGTTGTGGCTGCGCGTCTCCACCGCGGTCTCCCCGTGTTGTGTCTCCACTCCGACCGTGGCGGCGAGTTCGCCTCTGGTCGGCTTGGACAGTTCTGTCGTGCGGAGGGCATCACCCAGTCGTACACCTTGCCGGACTCGCCACAGCAGAATGGGGTTGCTGAGCGCCGCATCGGCTTGGTCATGGAGGTCGCCCGTACCTCCATGATCCATGCCAATGCCCCCCATTTTCTGTGGCCGTTCGCTGTTCGCTACGCTGCTCACCAGCTTAACTTGTGGCCACGCTCCCAGCGGCCGCAGGTTTCGCCGACCCTCCTTTGGACCGGGTCCCCCGGTGACGCGTCTGCGTTCCACGTCTGGGGCTGCCTTGCTCATGTTCGTGCCTCTGGCACGGACAAGCTCACTGCCCGCACTGTCCCCTGTGTCTTCCTCGGTTTCCCCCTGGACTCATCTGACTGGCTTTTCTACCACCCGCCGTCTCACCGCTTCCTCCACTCTCGTGACGTCACCTTTGACGAGTCCGTCTCCTTCTACCGCCGCTTCCCTCACCGAGGTCTCCCAGTTGCCCCCCCCCCTATTCCTTGCTCCCTCTCCCCAGGTAGCCCCTGCCCCTCTCCCGCCTCGTCCTGCCCCGTCTGGTGTCTCTCACGTCACTCCCCTCCCGTCGGTTGTCCCCGTTGAGGAGTCTGCTGACTATGGTGGTACCCCCGGTCCGTCCTTGCCGCGTCCCCCTTCCCCGGTGCCTCCGCCCCCACTGTCGCAGTCGCCGACCCCGCTGCCGCCGCCGTCGCCGTCGCTGCCGCAGCCGTCGCCGCTGTCGTCGCCACCGCAGCCGTCGCCGCCGCCGCCGCCGTCGCTGCCGCAGCCGTCGCCGCTGTCGCCGCCGCCGCAGCCGTCGCCGCCACTGCCGCCGC